GTGAACAAAGAAATGGGAGTTCTTTTCAATGAACTACTAGTATTACATGATTTTGATGAAACTATTCTTCTCTTCTTCTTTGGTGCTGGAGGACAAGTCTTGATTTCTTGAATTTGATATCTCTTAGCTTTTGGAGTTGAACAACAATATTCATTACTACTATTTGATCCATCAATCATAGTACTATTATTCTTCAATGAAGTTTTACATGGAGAAATAGTTGATATCTCTTCATTTTTCTTCAATGGTTGTTGCTTTTGTGAGCTTGTTGTTGATCTTCGTGTACTTCTTCTATAGCTAGAAGGACCCATTATAGCGTGAAGTAAAGTAATTGCTAAATTTGGATATATTAAAAATTATTTAGAACTCTCAATACAAAGAGTAGACTTTAATTAGTAGAAGACAGTACCTAGAGTACCAACATGAAATTTTTCGGCACAAATTTAAATTAAACGGACTCTCGGCTTCAACTAGTAGAAAGAAAGTAGCAAGAGTAGCAAAGCGAGATTTTTCGATGCGAATTCAAATTAAGGAAAAAAAGGGATATGAAAAAGAAGAAGAAAAAAAAAAAGGAAAATGAGGTAAAAGCTAGTTGAAAGTAGAATGCTATAGAGATGTGTTGTAGGAACAAAAAGAAACTTGATGATTGGAATAATAGGTATAGTTCATTTATAAGTGAATTCAACTAGGGTATTATATTGGTTGATGAGGAAATATTGGGGCAGCTTGCCCGCTGCCCGAGAAGTGTTTGACAGTTGAAAACCTTAAATTGAGCTAAGTTCAAACTGGAGACGCATCGGAAAAAGAAAAATAATTAAGAAAAGAAACTGAACTCTTCGTTACATTTTCCTTTTCGAATTTACGTTATAAACACATTGTTAATGTAAAAAAATTCTATGTCATCGAGTCATATTTATCTTATTTAAGATTAAAAATATTATATTTTTACCAAGTTAATTACTATCAATTAGTAATTATTAAAGGATTTACTTATAATTATAATTATAAGTAATTTAATTGCATAGTTATTTTTTATTATTAGTGTATAAAAGCTAAAGTCCTTAAGTTGGAGTTTATTTATTTTAAAAAAATAACATTACTTCCTCCGGTCCATAATAAGTGACTTTTCCTACGACACGCCCCTTAAAAAAATACGAACTCCTAGAGAAAAAAATATGTATTTACTAAATTACCCTTATTTAAAATTTGCATATTGTTACCTTGACACATTGAGATATATAAATAAGGATAAATTTTGAAAAAATTAAAATTAATTCTTTCTTGATTATGTAAAAGGATTCTAATTTTGGACCAAAAGAAAAAGACAAAAAAAGTCACTTATTATAGACCGGATGGAGTAGTAATTTTGTAAACTAGTTTTAGTTTTTTTTATAAAAAAAATAGAAATTGTAAGAACATATAGTAAACAGTATGCTATTTAGGTTCCACCCCGGCCTAGTATGTCCAATATTTTTCCTGGTGCCATGTCGGGGAAATTTCATATTTAAAATGCAGAAAGAAAAATTTAAAAAGGATCAAATATTAAACCAATAAATAAAAGGGGCACTGAAATTGTAAAAGGAACAGTAACTGTTTTTGTCGGTCAATTTGGAAGAACATATTTAATAAATTACTACTAGTAGTAAATTAACTAAAACTCACTTAGTCAGCCATTATATAATTATTTTAATTTTTTGGATTTATAATTTAGAAGGACACATTGAACTTAGGATACCCTTTAGTTTAAGGCCAATCTTAATTAGTAGCAGCTCAATTTTATTATTCACTGAATATTTTTTGAAATTTGGTACACTGAGTTTTAATTTTGATACCATTCTCTGTCTCAGATATTTTTTTGTTCTTTTTCCATGTCGACAAGCATAAGCTGAATGTGCTTAGATTTTCTTTGGCTTTATTATTGAAAGAGAATACTAAATGGAGTCCACCCATTTCAAGATATAATTGTAAATCACTTTATCCGTCTTATTTTATATGATGCATTTTGACAGGCATAAATTTATAAAATAAAAAAAAATATAAAAATTAAAGTTTAAAATAAATCATAAATATTTATATTATTATAAATTATTTTATTAAATGTAAAATGAGAAGTTTAAATTGAGGTAGAGAGAGTAACACTTAGGGAATAAGTCCACAAATTTTCTACAATTAAGCTCATGAAATTTGAAAAATACCATCAAAATTTGCTACATGAACGTCAATATATGGGGAATGATGGATGTTGACAGCAGATCCGGCCGCATACAATTATTTCTATATTTAAACATCAAAAAATATTTTCTTGAATGATGTTTTTCATTAAAAGAAGAAAAATAACTTTTTTTGCTCCATTTATAATAATTTCTAAATTGCAAAAAATGATGAATAGTGAGACATAATTCCTTTTCTAAGCGATGTTCCCTTCCATACTTAACACACGTTATATTAAAATTTGCACTCATTATTATACTTCCTCCGACCCACAATAAGTGACCATTTTACTTGTTTATTTTTCCAAAATTTGCCCTTATTTACATACTCCAATGTGTCAATGTCACGACCCAATTTAGGATCGTGACCGGCACCTAGGAGCAAGTGCCCCCAACTAAGCCTCATCGGTATTTTACAGAAAATTGGACAGAGTTTTCCCTGTTTTTGGACTATCCCAAAAATTTTCCCTGTCTTAAATCAGCAACCCAACATCCTAATAGCAATTCAAACAATCGACCACTTATCAATTAACCAAAATCGTCTTCACCATTACTAATCAACCCACTAACAACCAGGAATACTAATTTATCTCCAACTTTGATAATAAAGAACGATACACGACATAAGAGTAATAGCAAAATAATACTCATGACACTAACAGAATGACTATGGAGCGACTCTAAGAATTCAAAGAAAAGACCATAACAATTGATAAAAATCTCCGCCCACGCGAACAAGTGCGAGGCTCACCAAGAATTCTCAACCTGTGCGCTCTATTTAACGAAATCCTCGCCTGCGTCAACTGTTGTCTCTGTAAAAAAATTAGCGAGGAATGAGTCGCTAGCTCAGTGAGTAATAACACTTAACCACAACCGTTTTTAATTTGGAGACAAGTCATAAAACATGCTAGTATATCAAACAGAAAACAACATAAAAATACCCTTTCAGAAACAATAAATAATTTTCAGTCTCATCATACTTTTCTTGTAGTAGAATACAAATACAATTCAGTAATAAGCTCGGTAACCACTGTATAATATCAATATTCATATTTTGGGAGGTTTCAATGAACGGATCATGTAATCGGTATAACTGTGGACTTCTTCGCAAGAAGTCAAATATTACGGTAATCCCTACTCGAGGAAAATCGGTAACGGCATGCTAGTTCTACCTTCCCACTAGCGAGGGCTATAACTGTACTCTGTAATCGGTAAATACAAGGTGCACCAGGTTTAACGAACCCGCCGTTAGCTACGGGATCCTTCAAAGTCTCCTCCCATTTATACTCTTTCTTGTAAATAGTAAATACTCGTACAAAAGCATTTTCAAAATAATAAAGGGCATATCATTCCTTATCAAATCTTGTAATTTTATTTCGGTAACAGTAATCATGTCTCAAGTAACAGTAAAACATGTCTAGTAACAATGAGAATACTTCAAATAACTGTATCATCTCAAGTAACAGTAAAACATATCTAGTAACGGTGAAAATATTTTGATTAATCGGTAAACATCTCAAGTAAACTGTTCGGTATCATATCAAGTAAAGGACTTGTCCCACATGCAAATTTCAAAGCATCGGTAATATATTTATTTTCAAAATCATATATAAACCATGCAGGTTATGAAAATACAAATTGTGGTAAGATTACTACTCACAGTACTCGTGTCGAAGTACCAAACTCGTCGCCTCGAGCGATCTGTACGACTTTCTTCAATCAATCTATAATCACATCAATATCGATCTTGTGTTAATTGCCTCATTTAGGCTAAATCCACCACTAATTTAGAATACCCAATCCTCCGAATTTTATATTTTATCATCAATTCGCCGAATTATATTTACCATACTATGAGTAATTTAAATTAGTCCAAAATCTTGTAATAAAAAGGTATTTATATAGTTTATTCCCTGTACTATTCAATTTCCTTAATCGTGTGCATAAATTGAAACTGAAATAACCTTATTGTCCATAATTTTCCTTCTTAATTGGTACTTATCTTTTGTACTCAATACTAGACTTACAATATTCAAACCCAAATCCGATATTGTCATTGCAATACAGTTACACCAAAACTCAATCCTTGCACCCTAACTTGATTTACACCTAACAATGATCATATATAATGATACTAGTGTAAGTACAAATACATCAATACCCTTCTTTTTCCAAGTGAATTTATCCTACAGTTACATTGACCAATTTCCAATTGCATAACTTGCCCAGAATAACTCTTATTGGTATTTAATTTCTTATACCTTGTGAAACCCTTCAAATATATGAACTGAGATAAAAAAATAACTACCATAAGAAAGGAACCCAGATGAGAAATTCGAGTATTACCTGTAAGAACCAATGCGTTTTTTAAAATTTCTCAAGGTTTGGCTCTAGCCTCTTTCTTCTTCTTCTTCTCCTTTGTTTCCTCCTCCATCGTTTTTTTTCTTTCTTTCTTTGCTTTTAGCTTCTGTTGCTTAGCAGCAACTTTTCCCCTTTTTCCCTTTTGTTTTCCCGTTTCTCATTCTTATGGGCTTTAGCCCATTGTCCTATTTTTTTTTTTAAACTTTAGTTAAGGACTTATATGCCCTTATTAATATATAGGGTATTACATTCTCCCCACCTTATGAAATTCGGTCCCCGAATTTAATTTAAGTACGTACCTATGGACTGAAATAAATGGGGATACTTCGCTTGTATATCTTTTTCTACTTCCCACGTAGATTCTTTAACTGTATTATTTCTCCATAACACTTTAACAAATACAATTTCTTTTGACCGTAGTTTCCTTACTTGCCTATCAACAATAGCCATTGCCTCCTCCTCATAATATAACTTCTCATCAAGCGATGTAACAGGTGCTCCAAGCACCTGAGATGAGTCTGATATATATATTTCCTTAGCATTGAGACATGAAAAACTGGATGAATAAATGACAACTCAAGAGGAAGTGCCAAACGATAAGCCACCGCTCCCACTCGGTCTAGTATCTTATACGGTCCTAAAATCCTGGGGATTAGCTTGCCTCTTTTCTCAAACCGCACCACACCTTTCATAGGAGAGACTCGTAGGAACACTTTCTCCCCAATTATAAACACTAAACCTTTTCTTCTCTTATCCGCATAAGATTTTTGTCTACTTTGAGCTGTAAGCAATCTCTGTCGGATCAACTGGACTTTGTCCATAGCTTCTTGTACTAAGTCGGGTCCCCATAAGTTAGTCTCACCAGCTTCAAACCATCCTATAGGAGACCGACATCTTCTACCATAAAATGCTTCATACGGTGCCATTTGAATACTGGACTGGAAGCTGTTGTTGTAAGAAAATTCAGCTAAAGGTAGATAAGCGTCCCAACTACCTCCAAACTCAAGAATACAATCTCTCAACATATCCTCTAAGATCTGTATAGCACCTTTAGACTTTGTGTTTGCGTGCGATAAAACTAGTACTAAGATCTACTCGTGTACCTAACCTTTCTTGAAAAGGTTTTCAAATCGTGAAGTGAATGCGATACTTTATTAGAGCTGATGGACAATAAAGCTCTATTGAGTCAGATAATTTTCTGTTCATGTATATCTATGCATATTTTACCTCACTATAAGATGTTTTGACTAAACATGCCTACTTGGTAAATCAATTTACAACTTTCCCACATATAATCATACCTCTAATGGTTTGAGTAATTTAGTCATATATGTATTGTTCTATTGTATTTTCACTTCAGAATCTTGAGTTGTTTTAGTGGGCCTGTGAGTCGCAAGTGCTTGCCTTAACATACTGACATGTCAAATAGTGAGAAATAAAGTTAACGAATTTTTTTTAATTTTTCTTTTTTGCATAAGTTATAATACTTATCTTTCCCGAACAGTACAATTATATTTTCAGTAGTTCCCTCCATCAACATTGCTAAATATTTTATCTCTGTTGGTTTTAAATGTACTTCAGGCTCTTGTGCTAGGTATAAATCTCATAGGTTTCTTCATATAAATAGTGTCTTTAAATCTTAAAAGGAAATACCAATATGACCATCTCCAAATCATGAATGGCATAATACGACTTGAGCTTCTTCAATTTCCTTAGAGCATAGGCTATCACGCGACTATTTTGCATGAGAAAATATCCTAATCCTACCATCGAAGTATCATATAACATCGTGAATCCTCTAGAGCCTATTGGAATAAGGCTAATATTAGTGTGGTTGTCAAACATGCTTTCTCGTTGTACATTTCTCCATCCACTGAACTTTAGCGATTTTTTTTTTTAAAAATCTTCGACTCATATTAAAATCCATACTAAAAGATATTCTAATCTGATCTTCTTATGTGAGTTTTTGCCCGCCTATCATGTCCATATTTTCAATCTTTCTAGTAAGTGCAACTGCTACAGAATAAGTTTAAGTCTTCATATATGCATTTACTATCTTATTTAAACAATTAACCAACCTTTCAACAAGCCTATAAACTTATGATGTTGCTTGTGTATCCAGCTGAGAAAGTTTGGTGTTATATATAAATATACCCAACGTCTAAATTAATTTCTTAAATGATCTAGCAGGCAAGTTCACGTTACAAACTATCAAGAAGGAGGTGATTCATAAACACTTTAGTGAAATTTATTTCCAAATTAGTCGTGTTGCTCTTGTTGGCATCTCTAAGAGTACAGTAACATTTCATGTATCGTCATGTTCTCTAGTCTAAAGGTTGCTTGTTCCATAGACCTCTTCATGAAATATCCTATGGCTCATAACGTGGTAAGTATTTTACTAAAGCCTTTAAGGATCCTTTGAAATATCAGAAATAGTAAACTTAGTAGTTCCAACTTTAGGAACTTTATTAAGAATATTTTGTTGGTCCCCATAATCTTCTAGGTGCATGAGGACTTTAGAGCCCCTATTTTGTTGCTCATTCTTCTCATGTTTATGTATCACCTCTATAAAGATCTCAATTTTTTTTTCTTTTTTTTCTTTTGGAGGTAAGTACCTTTTTGTTATAGCACTCCTCTATTGATGTAGTGGTGGACTAGTATAAATTTCCGAAATAGACTCTATTACGCATCTTATCGGAAAGCACCTCATATGGCACAATGAACCTTTCACTGGTCTTGTATACTACATATGTAGCATTTCTTTGCTTGGAGATGGTTGCATGTCCATTGCCGAAATTTGACGTCTTTGAAGTTTGAACCTCTAGGCAAATTCTATTATAAGGTAATTGGTCCGAGCCATACACTAATAGGATAAGTAATTATAGATTCAGTCATTTGACCCTAATCACCACACACGTACGGAGGAATAAGAAAGAAAGACAAGACACATCCTATCACGCTCTCGCAGAATCACGATTATGGGAATGGCCGGCTACATAACCATAATTGAGATTCTACTACCGACGTGTGCTCCATTAGTCACAAGAATAACCCAGGGCTCTGATACCAACTCTGTCACGACCCAATTTAGGATCGTGACCGGCACCTAGGAGCAAGTGCCCCCAAGTAAGCCTCATCGGTATTTTACAGAAAATTGGACAGAGTTTCCCCTGTTTTTGGACTATCCCAAAAATTTTCCCCGTCTCAAATCAGCAACCCAACATCCTAATAGCAATTCAAACAATCGACCACTTATAAATTAACCAAAATAGTCTTCACCATTACTAATCAACCCACTAACAACCAGGAATACTAATTTATCTCCGACTTTGATAATAAAGAACGATACACGGCATAAGACTAATAGCAAAATAATACTCATGACACTAAAAGAATGACTATGGAGCGACTCTAAGAATTCAAAGAAAAGACCATAACAATTGATAAAAATCTCCGCCCACGCGAACAAGTGCGAGGCTCACCAAGAATTCTCAACCTGTGCGCTCTATTTAACGAAATCCTCGCCTGCGTCAACTGTTGTCTCTGTAAAAAAATTAGCGGGGAATGAGTCGCTAGCTCAGTGAGTAATAACACTTAACCACAACCGTTTTTAATTTGGGGACAAGTCATAAAAGATGCTAGTATATCAAACAAAAAACAACATAAAAATGCCCTTTCAGAAACAATAAATAATTTTCAGTCTCATCATACTTCTCTTGTAGTAGAATATAAATACAATTCAGTAATAAGCTCGGTAACCACTGTATAATATCAATATTCATATTTTGGGAGGTTTCAATGAACGGATCATGTAATCGGTATAACTGTGGACTTCTTCGCAAGAAGTCAAATATAACGGTAGTCCCTACTCGAGGGAAATCGGTAACGGTATGCTAGTTCTACCTTCCCACTAGCGAGGGCTATAACTGTACTCTGTAATCGGTAAATACAAGGTGCACCAGGTTTAACGAACCCGCCGTTGGTTCTTACAGGTAATACTCGAATTTCTCATCTGGGTTCCTTTCTTATGGTAATTATTTTTTTTCACGGATGTGGCAACCTGAAAAGGATCGCTTAATATCTCAAAATATTCTTGATTTTTTTTAAAACTTTAGTTAAAGACTTATATGCCCTTATTAATATATAGGGTAGTACAGTCAAGATAACAATTACAACGACAACAACAACAACAACCCAGTGAAATCTCACTAGTGAGGTCTGGAGCTGTTCCAGATAGACCATTGGCTCAAGAAGACAAAAATAATTAATTAAGGTTAATTTAGTGAATACATCTTTTTTTCTGTAGGAGTCCGTATTTTAATGATCGTACCAAAGGTAAAATGATCGCTTATTATGGACCAGAGGGAGTAGAGGAGTAGTATTTGTTTACCCGTAAAATGGTACAGTTGAATTTATACGTGGTTTCTAGACAAGGGAATTAATTCGATCATGAAATAATAAAATAATTAAAGAAAAATATAATACTTAGCCGTGAAATGAAGATAAAATAGCAGAAACACTGATTCTGAGAGCAAGGCTTCCGGGCACAACAGCGATCAAACCAAGAAATAAGAAGATAAAAATATATAGAGTTTTGGATTGATTATAGTATAAGTTTGCGAGAAAATTCGTGTCCTTTACAATGATGGTTGATCACGCACAACTCTAGTCTTAAAAAGGATAAGCGATCGCTGTAAATATAATCCGATCTAAAAGTTCGGAGTCGAACCCCACAGAGAACTAAGGCTTAGCTACAACTGTTCAATATCAATAAGAAGGCAGGCTTGAATAGTTTCAAAGTTATAAATATTAAGATTCTAACTAATTAACTAACATTTAAAATAGTAAATTAATAACTAAAGATATTAAGGTTCGAAGACTAAATTAAGGAGGTCTAGAGTTATGATTTCGCCAATTGTCGGAATCTTTCCCGCTAGTCTTCTATAATTTCGCCTAAGTATTCTCTACTGATCGTGAGTACTTTGGGTGTCGTTGCTCTCTCTCGAGCAACTACCATAATTTACTAGACATATTCTCTCGAACTACGCTAGCTGGCACTAATTCACCGCTTACTACGATCGTACCAAGGTTTCGTTATATCTAATCTCACCTTTTAACCCTCCGTATTGATCTCTTACATACGTTAGGAGTGATGTTGTTCAACAACTACCTAAATACGTACTCTCTCTCGAGCAAAACATACTAAATAGGCACAATTAATGATGGTCATTCAATCAACAACAATAAACACGTAGTTGAACAAACAGAGAAATCCAACGACTCAATTATATAAAAACGTAATAAGAATTCATCCTACAAAAGGTTCCATCAAAACCCTAGATAACGAATTGGTTCTTCATAATAGTATGCAAAACTACAATACTAGAATTCATCACCAATAATGAAAATAGGAAAAGGAAGTGAAAAACTCGTAGAAGAATTCCCCGCCTTGCTCCTAGTGTGTTCTTGCCTCCTTCGGTCGATTTTTCCTCTCTAAAAATGTGCAATTTTCGTCTCCAAAACGTCTCTCCTTCTCAAAAGTGTGTTACGGACTATTTATATGGGATAGGGTTTGCGTGGGCGAAAATAATACAAGACTACTTCGAAATAGCCTTTTCAGGGTAGCTCGTTCACTCTCTTGTGCGCACACGAGAGTGAACGAGCAAAGTTCTTCTCTTTTTCTTTTCCTTATAGGTCTCTCGTGCACTTCCATGCCTTTTTGCCATACTTCACTGTTTTTTTTCTCAAGCTTTTCCTCAACTTACTCGTTCACTCTCTCGTGTGCACACGAGAGTAAACGAGCGAAGTACTTCTCTTGTCTTTTGGTCCCAAATCAACTTCTTTTGCTCATCTTTCGTCCAACTTGCTCCTACACATAAGAATGAATGTAATGAGCATAATTCAATACAAAAACTCACATACCGCC